AGTTGGGGGCTGCGGAGAGCGCTTCCTGCCTCTCCTGGTCTGGGCTGCAGTCCTACGGCCAGGCTCCTGGTCTGTGCACAGGACTGGACAAAGCCAGACCAGCTCCTCTTGTTGTACTAGGGTCAGCATCCTCTCTCAGCGAGCCTTTGGGGATTTCAAGACAGAGCTGTGCTAGAGGCTTGTAAGGAGGAACATGGGCATGGACCAGGGTTTTCCCCCTGTCCCTGGGCTGAGTTTGCAGCACGTTTTGATGGGTCTGGGGTTGACCTCTGTTAGTAGGGATGGCCCAGGGTGAGTAGGGGAGCTTGTTAAGCCTCAGTGTGGTTTTCAAGCCCTGTTGGTCCATCACCTCTAGGGAGGGAAAACATCCAGCACAGTGTGAGGAGAGCATGCAGAGCCTAAGGTACGTTATGTGGGGGAGCCGAGGGAGTGTGCGCATGGCAGTGGTGGTAATGGACAGGAAGCACTTCAGGGTGACAATAGATGGATGAAGTCAGCAAGGAATACATGGCATGTTTCAGGAAGGCACCTGGACTCACAGAAAAAAGTAGGCCGCAGAAGGGATTCCAAGGCCCTGAGCAGGGCAGGCAGCAGGCGACCCCATAGTTGAGGGGAGCAGCGGTGGCGGTCCTGTGGGCTGGAGGTACAACAGCAACACCCCACATAGGATGTCAAGTCCGCTGACTGGGAAGGGCCATCTCAGAGCCTTTTGTCACCTGTGAGTCCCAAAGCCGTTCTCTTTCTTGCTTAAGTTATAGAGCTCACTATGAACAAGCAGCCATACAAGGTAATACCTCTGTCATTTTCTTGTCCCAAAATGTTGCCTCCATGATCCACACCCATGTACCTTGGCGTTATTTGAGTGGGGTGTCGTGCTAGGACTGATCACTCTGCAGGCCTTACACTCGTCTTTCAGGGTTTCTGTGACCTAGAATGCTGTAAAATTCAGGCATGAAGGATGACGTGTCACTTTATGGCCCCCCAGGAAATTTCCTGTCTGGTGGGGCAGTTGGCTGTCATACCAGGTATGGCAGGGAGGCTGTCATCAACGTGCGAAGAGCAAGGAGCAGAGTTACGCAGTCCCGTCTAACTCGAGGGATTCAAGAATGTTCTTTTTCTACTAGCATGTTTCCTTTCCCATGCTTTTCTTCCAGCTGCCTGTCGATGGATGCTCTGAAGTTCTCCCTCCGCTTCCTGTGTACTGACTGTTCTCCTGGCTTTCCTTCTGGTGTCTTTTGCCTTTTAAAAAGAGTTCTGCTTAGTAATAACACATAGCACGAGCTCTACCCTCTTAACAAGTTGTACGTGTACGTGGAAGAGGTATTACCTACAAGCACAGTGCTGTACAGCAGAGCTCTGCTGACACGTCCACCTGTTTGTCCGTCTGTTAAATCCGCTTATTCCACTCAGTATAATGTCCTCAAGGTTCTTGCATCTTGTATCATGTGGCAGGATGTCTTTCTTTCTTTCTTTTTTTTTTTTAATTGGGGGATTGGGGGATGGGGAACAGACAAGTTACTGTCCTTTTGTTCTTCAGTCTAGTTGTGGAGGACGTCGCTTCACTGGCCCAAGTTGGCACCATCATTGCGCTCTTCCCGAGTGAGGCAGATCAGTCGCCGGCTTCTGGACGGCCGCTCACTGCGGCTGCTGGCCGCTCACGCTGGCTGCTGGCTACATACGGTAGCCCATGGCAACCCACTGCAGCAATGGCTGCAGCCTACACCGTCATCGGCAACTCCCGACAGCCCAGCTCCAGGTTGAGCTGTTGTTCAGCATCTTAGCTGTAGAGGGCAGTGTCATTGGCCCTCATATGTGGGATCCGAACCGGGGCCCTCTGGCATCCCAAGCCAGTTCTTAACCAATGTGCCACTCGGCTGGCCCTGGATGTCCTTCTTTTTCAAGGCTGAAGACTATTCCATTGTCTGTGTTGGCCACGTCTTGTTTATCCTTTTATTCTGTCGATGGACATTTAGGTAGTTTCCACCTCTCGGCTATTGTGGCTAATGCTGCAGTGAACATGGGGGTGCAAATATCTGTTTAAGACTTGATTTCTGTTCTTTTGGATAAATACCCAGAAGTGGGGTAGGTGCTAGTTCTATTTATCATTTTTGGAGGACCCTCTATACTGTTTTCCTTAGTGGCTGCACTTTTTATATTCCCAGCAACGGTGCACAAGGGTTTCAGTCTCTCCGCATCCTCACCAACATTTATTATATTCTGTTTTTGTTCAAATGGACATCCTAACAGGTGTGAGGTGATGTCTCATTGAGGTGTTGACTTACATTTTCTGATGAGTACTGATGTTGGACGTCTTTTCATGTACCTGTTGGCCACTTTTGTGTCTTTGGAGAAATGCCTATTTAAGTCCTTTGTCCATTTTTTAATCAAGTTATTTGATTGTTTGCTATTAAGCTGTAGGGATTTCTTCGCCTTTAACTGCTAAGTCACCATGCCCTTACCTGATGAACCCCACGCTCGTTTTCTGCTGCTCCTCAGCCTGACCCTTCCGGCCCCCTTCTCCCTTCTCACCGCCCTGCTCCTGCCACCTTTCCCTTGGCTTCTGAAATATACTCAGACCCAACCAGACACATCCTTAGAAACCCAGGTCAGGTCAGAGCTGCCCACGGTCCTTCCCTGACCACCCAGCCAGCATGGCGCTCTCTGCCGACGTCCTCAGGACTTCTTGTCTTTGGTGCTCTTGGGCATTTGGCACAGACTGCTGCCTTGCTTTGGGATCAGTGTGGCACGTGTGTGTTTTATGTTCACGGACCTCCATCTTCTGATGGGCCGGACCGTGTATCCTCCCCTCCCCAGGACGTTACAAAGCACCCACCACACCATGAAAAGGCAGGAAGCCCAGGAAGAGGTGTGTGCGTGTGTTCCAGGTGCAGACAACAGAGCTGCGCTGTAAGCCCAGGTGTGCTCTGGCAACACAGGGAGGACATGAAGGGGGCAAAGTCTAAGTGCACAGCCACTGCTAGTCCCAGGAGACAAAGATGGGCAGGACCGGGATGGGAGGAAAGGGAGCGGCAGTGACTGGGCCTTTTCGCAGGCTGGGGTTGGAACAGACAAGCAGTGTACATGAGGAGGGCATGACTAACCTGAGACGTGCTGTGCTGGAGTTTGGCAGGCAGGGCTTGACAGGCGTGTGCTGGGAGCCATGGGGGAGCTGAGGTCGCCGACGGTTCTGCGGGCCATCAGAACAGCTGCCGGTGGCAGGACCCACCCCTACTTGGAACACCCTGTTCCAGAGAATCCGTGGCTTCTGACCCTGGTGTATTCTTGCCAGCAATGTTTCATGGGCGTTCAGTCCATGGCTAAAGTGCAGGTCACCCGGAAGCCCCCAGACGGCCTTCCTGAGGCCGAGGCCATTCAGGCAGGCCAGGGGCAGACCCCTGGGTTGGATTTACAGCGTGGCCCTTGAGTAGTGCTGGTCCTTCATGCTGCCTGCCAGCGGCTGGAGGACCATTTCTGGCCTCCCAAATCCATGGAGGCCCTCCACCTCGCCGCCTTCATCGCCTTCTTCCTGGGACTCACACACCTCTCACAGGGGTCGGGTTTTCACAGCCTCAAACCTTCCCTCCACCATGTCCTGATGATGCCATGACCAGTTCTGGTCCCTGTGTGCGGGAGACCAGCTCCCGCGGGGTCCAGGGGTTCCCTCAGGTGGAGGCGGAGGCGGCGAGGAAAATGAAGAAAGACGCACGGAGACACAGGAGCGCTTTTTCAAGAAGAGAAGTGTCTCACTTTATTCTACAGCATGCCCCTTTTTATAGTGGGCAGTTGACCATTATCTCATCAGTAAAAAGTTATTTTACATAGTTTAGATCAGGGTTTTACTTCCTTATAATTCTTATGCTCCAGGGTACAGCTTGACTTTTTCTTATGCTAAAAGATCAACTTAACTGTGTTTTAATCCTTTTTTACCTATAGTGACTATGTGACTAAGGCTAATCCTTTTACCTATAGTGACTATGTGACTAAGGCTAATCCTTTTACCTATAGTGAAGTGACTATGTGACTACTCAACAATTATCCTAAACACTGTTAGCTAAGCAGGATCTTAAGATTTATAGGGTGTGTACTTTGACCTTTACTAAGAGACTAGTGTGACTAAAATTACCTTTAGTGTATAAAATAGAATTATTGTGATATATCTATCAGAAGGGGTGTAAGATCTTCATCCTACTGGGGGGCATCCAAAGGGGAATTTAAATCTTCTAAGATATAAAGCAGTATCTGTTTCTCAGTCAGAGCTTCAGAATTTGTCACAATTGCAGTGTGTTTGGCCATGTCAAATACTGAGGCGTAGACAGCTCCCGGCACCTGTGCTCTCGGGGCAGGTTCCAGCCAGAGCAGCAGTTATAGGGCCCCATCTTGTACCTTTGGAATGTCCCTGAGTAGGTCCGAGCTGCTCTCACGTGCATCTGGGGAAGCCTGACAACCTGGCCCCGCCTCTCCGGGGAGGGAAGAAGAAGGCGGCCTAGTCCTCTCAGCAGCTGGCCACCTCCTGCTCATGGGCTCGGAGACCTCTGTCCTTTCTGGCTTCTCTCTGACCCTTTCCCACTCCACTTGTCATGTTCCTGCGACACTGGCTCCCCAACCGGGCAGGTGTGTAGAGTCACCTGGATGCTTAAGAAAGAGACAAAGAAGAGAAGTCCTTCGGCCCTGTCCCTGGAGTGTGTGTAGCCAGGTGTGGGCAGGGCTGGGATCTGACCTCTTTGTGTACACACACACACACACACACACACACACACACCAACCCCGTACCCCCCCACCACCACCTCCAGAAGAAGCGTGATCGGCTTGCTGGGTTCCTGAGTCATTTTTATTTCCTTTTTGGCCCAACCTTGAGACATGCTTTTTGGATTTTCTCGAGTGATTATTTCTTTGGAAATCGGAGAAAGAGTAGATGTCATTAAAAAACAAAAGCCAGATTTCAGTGATTGGTCTCTTTCAGAAATCGCTAACCCTGCTCAATGTGTTCCTCTTTCCCACAGGGGGACTCGATCTCATCTTCATGCCGGGCCTTGGGTTTGACAAGCAAGGCAACCGGCTCGGGAGGGGCCGGGGCTACTATGACGCCTACCTGAAGCGCTGTGCGCAGCAGCAGCACGGGAAACCCTACACTATGGCCTTGGCTTTCAAAGAACAGATTTGTCTCCAGGTCCCAGTGGACGAGAACGACATGAAGGTAGATGAAGTTCTTTATGAAGACCCCTCAGCATCTTAAGTCCTGATGCCACAGCCAAACAGTCTACGTGTGTGCCCGAGAAACCTGGTCCGCACAAGATGTGTTTTCCCTTGTCAGAAATCAGTTGATCGCATGCTAATGGGAATATGGACTACATTGTTTTTAGTATCATTATGAAATCCCTAACATAAAACCATCTTTAAAAATTAATAGACTTGTGAATAGTAGAACATTAATTAAAATGGAGGCTATCACCATATGATTCTCAGCTTAATTTCCTGGTGTGAGTGTGACAAGTTGATCTCTCTGCTTTGCAGTTTAAGTTAAATATTTATGAGGAACTGGGCTCCGACTCAGAGAGTGAGAGGAAGGTGAAGCCATCGGGAGAGGACACGGTGTCACTAAGTCCTGTCATGGGCCTGGTCAGTCTCTGCAGGTATGTGGAGACTCGGCAGTTATTAACTGATTTGTGTGTGTTTGCTCTGTGTACAGAGTTCCCAAGAACATTACACCACTTCATCTTGACTTCATTCACTCACCCTGAACTTTTATGTCTGACACTGTGGCTTTTGATGGTTAATGGACTAAAACCTTTCATGATTTAAATAGTTAAATTCATCTGATTTGTTCCCGTCTGTGCTGTACTATGTATCAGTCACTTAGGAGTTTAAGACGTGATACCATGTAAGTTAGAAATTATTTCTGTTTATTTGTGGTGTCTGCTTTGGAAATGGAATCTGCTGAAGGCTGGCAGATGGCACCCCAGCTAGGGAGTGCTAATATGGGGGGAACGGGGAAGGTTTGGTTATGACCAGACACCCAGGAGTCTCCCTAGACGCTGCTCGCTCCCTCACACCCCACGTCCAGTCTGTCACCTGGTCCTGCTGATTTTTCTCCACGATGCCTCTTACACCTGTTCTCTCCTCTGCATTGTCCTGTCGCGTCTCTGTCCAGCCCTCAGCATTTCTGAGCTAAACTGGGCGAGAGGTTCCCACTGGCTTCCCTTCCTTCAGTCTGACCCTCTCCAGTTTATTTCTCAAACTGCGAAAGTATCTCATAAAACATGAATCCGACCATGAAGCACCCTGATTAGAACCTTTCAGTGGCCTGTTCAGAGCCTGCTTGGTGACGGCCAAATGCCGTCCCTTTGTACAAGGCCCATCACGTAAGCGAGGCCTCCCACCTGCCTTTCTCTAGCCTCTTCTCGCCCCACTCCCACTGACAAACGCACAGGCAGCACCTGAGCATTGCTGCTTCCCTGTCCTGTGCTTCTTCCTCTGGCTGTACTGCCCTTCCCTCCCGTGTTAATCTGGAAAAGACTTCAGCTCCAGTGTCAGATCTTCTGTGAAGCCTTCCTCTCCATTCCCATGGTCCTCCTTATCACTTTGTCTTACCTACCAAGGTTAGTGGTCATGCCCGCCCCTTCAGATGCTGAGCTCCAAAGAGCAGGGATAATCCTTTGTTCTCACACTTAGTAGATACCTAGTCATAGAGCGGGTGTTTGAGAATTTGTTTGGATGAGTTACTTGAATACACATTCAGGGTATTTTCATTTAAAATATGGATCAATAGTCTTTGGATAATAACATACAATTTGATGTTTTATGCACAACAGTAAAAACTTTTAAAATGTCAGTTGATCTAAAATTGGATTTGCGCAGTACAGTATGTACAGTGAGAAGTGGGAGGGAAACAGTTTCTCTAAGCTGTAAAATCCTATTACTGTGCTGGTTAAAAATCGGAAGTGTTACCTCAACCATGAGGTTCACGTGAATGTTAGTACATGGTCTGAAATGGCTACCCAGTAAATTCCTGAGCTGCTGCGGGTCTGGAAACTTGAGCATTGTTGAATGTTATTCTGTGAAAAGGGAGCATTAGAACCCCTCCCCAGCTCCTCAGGTGCGGACAGAATGCAGCCAACTGGCCAGGAGACCCCGGGGCAACAGGGCCTCTCCTGGAAAGAAGAGCATTCCCTTGTGACCAGTCATGGGCAGTGGTCATTGTGCCGAGGACATTGGAAAGGGGAAAAAACCCTGACGATGCAGGTGATGGCGACCTTAACTGATCAGGGCACAGGCAGAGGTGAGGAAGAGGCCAGGAGCCTGGGAGCAAAGCAACGTGAGGAGGGTCTCAGGTGAGGGGACAATCCAGGAAAAGGGAAACAGCAGCGAGATCTGAACAGAAAGGTGGTTGGTGGTGAGCAGGGCTCTGGCATGGGTCTGTGCTTGCTGCCTTGTCTGGGGACTGTGCTTCCTTTAACCAGAAAGTAAACCCTGTAAGGCTCTAGCCCGTCCAAGGGAAGCCGATAAGAACCCGTTCCTTAATTCACGCAGCCCTACCAACTACGAGACTGACAGATTCGAGTAGGCCTGGGTGGCTTCAGGCAGAAGCTCACTTCCTGGTCCCAGTGGTTTTTTCTTTTTGCTTAGAGATCACTGGAAATTCAGTCAGTGGGGTCCCATTGCATTTTAATCACACGCTTACATGCTGCTTCCTCCACCTGCCTGCGAGCTCCTCAGAGGCACGTTCTCTGCCAAACCCATGGTTTACCTGGTACCCACCACAGTCCTCAGCACCAAATAAATGGCCAGTGAATTGATGACGGAGTGGATCCGTGTGCGTGTCGCCCGTGGTGTCTGAAGTTTTCTTGGGGGAAGAAGTCAAACGTGCTGGCTGAGGCTGGAGCTCTCGGCAGAGGGTGTCTTTGCTAAGGACCAGGATGGCCTCCAGACCGGGGGCAGTGGCCGGGGAATGAAACCCCAGGGCCATCGGGGTGCATAGGAAAAAGGGGAGTCTGGTTTGCTGACCGGCTGTTGCTTGGCTTCGTTTTATAGAAGGGTCACTGTCCCTCCAGGTGGGCGTAGTCTCAGCACAAGTTCCGACAGATTGGCTGGGAGGGCCCTGCCTCTGGGGTGCGTAGGCCTTCTATGCACCGGGAACCCCCAAACGTTACTCTCCTCCTCTGAGAGAGGACATGACACGAGGCTCAGGAGGAGGGTAGGTGAAGACTCAGCTCTGTAAATGGTTGGAGGGTGTGGCTTAGAGGTGAGGCTTCCTGACGCCTGACCCCTGCACTGGACACACCCATCCTGCAGCCAGTGTGAGCACACTGGCCTCCTGCAGGGGCACATGGGGAGATCGGGCGGGGCAGGGACAGACAAGTACACAGATGCTACTTTCCATATATTTACATATATTAGCATATGCAGGGTTGTTTTTTTGCCCCCCCCCCCAACTCTGTGAGGTATTACTGCGCCCTTCCTTCAGAAGAGGAAACTGAGGCCAAGGTCATGTTCACAGTAAGCGGTGGTTCAGGATTTGGGCCAAGTCTTCTCTGATTGTACAGCCTATGTCCTTTCCAGGGCCCTGGACCCCATCTTCATTGGGTGTGGGTGAAGGGGTACCCCTGGCTCTACCTGAGCCCTCCTGGGTCCTGGGGCCACCGGCTGCTTGAGCTCCCTCGAGTGCCTGAGTCCACAAAGACTCCTGCAGGTGTGAGGCCGATCTGAAGACAGGCAGCCCCCGGCCTAAGACAGGAAGACTGGACAGGGCGCTCTTCCTGTGCAGCTGGGCCCTGGTCACCAGGCTAGGCTGCTGTCACCAGGCCATAGAGGCTGCCCTGAAGGTCTTACCAGGCCTCACACTGGGCCAGATGAGGGCAGCGCTTTGGCTTGGGACCCCAGTCAGGTCTGCAGAAGCCAGCTGCTTCTACCTGGGGACCACCGGCTGGGCTGTGTCAGCTCAGGATGCACATGCATCCTGAGGTTTGCTTCTCTCTGGTCACCCCATGCTGTGCCAGTCATCAGCCGCCACTCTGTTCAGTTGGACTCTGATCGCTTCCCTGGACCTGGGTTTTCTCTTGATTTCCTTCTAAGCCTTTCTGTCTTTTACCAAATAGTTGTTTCCTGCTTCTCGGTCTCTGCGAATGGTTCCGCCACCACACATCCCCATCCTCTACTCTCCACTCCCTCCTCTTCCCTGCTCTTCCCTCCTCCTCTGTACCCTTCCTTCTTTCTGTCCATTCAACTCTTTCTCCTGTGCCTGTCTCTCCCTATGCCTTTCCCTCTCTTCTTCCCCACATCTCCACCTGAACCCCGGGGGCTGGGCCTATCTGTAAATGAGATCCAATGTAACGGAGTAGAAAGCGGCACAATGGGAGTGTCCTGCTAGGGGCCCAAAAGATTCCTGGGTGTTCTGGAATATCACCTGAGGGACTGGGCAGCTGCAGCAAGCGTGAGGGTGTGTGTCAGCCCACCCAGCATGAGGGAGAAGGCCACAAGTTCAGTCACCAGGAGGGAGAGTCCAGACAATGAGGTGACCAGATTTCCAAGTTTACTGAAAACCTGCAGATAACTGCACAGCTGCTCATGCTATTTAAAAAGTACCAGGGCATAACGTGGTCATTGTCGACCCTGTGGGTCGTGGACAGACGAGCTGACCTCGGGCAGGCAGGCTGTGGCTCTGGCGAATGTGAACACGGTGAACCCTGCCGGCCCCAGCACAGGCACGCTGCAGACTGACCTCCCAGCTTCTCAGGAGTGACCGTGCAGCCGGCCACCCCGCAGAGGGGTACCCAGGTCTGTCCAAGCACAGAACCCAAATGCACCCCCTTCCATGTCAGCCACACCTGGAGTAGTGACGACCCGTCCAAACCAAAGTCCTGAGATGAAGAGACAGGACGGAGAGAGCTTATGGAAAGCCCCAGAATGGGGCCTAGAGCCAGGGCGGTAACCCAGGGTTTCCTAGCCCTGGTCTCATGCTCCTATCAGGCTGCCAGACCACCAAAACAATCTAGAGGGGGAGATGTCACAGAAGCCATCTTTTGGCCTGTGGGGTCAGTGTGTGGGAACTCGGGGATCTGTGGAGACAGTAGGAAGGAAGAGGCCTCAAGACACAGGAGTTACAAGTATAGGCCCTAAAATCAAGATCTGTGGGTTCGGGCCAGCCAAGTGGCATGTTAGTTAGGAGTTGACTTGGGATGCCAGCTCTGAGCAGTAGGGCCCTGGTTCGGAGCCCACATGAGGGCCAGTGACGCTGCGCCTTCTGCAGCTAAGATGGTGAACAACAGCTCAACCTGGAGCTGGGCTGCCGTGGGTCATTGGCGATGGCGTAGGCTGCAGTGGGGCTGCAGTGAGCTACGTGAGTGGCTGGCAGCCAGCATGAGCTGCCAACAGGCGCCATGAGCGGCCGTCCTGAGGTTGGTGACCCATCTGCCTTACCCGGGAAGAGCGCAATGATAATACCAACAATGGGCCAGTGAAGCGGCGTCCTCCACAACTAGACTGAAGAACAAAAGGACAGCAACTTGTCTGTTCCCCTTCCCCCGATTTCCCAACGCTGTTCCCCTCCCTCAATTCCCCAATAAAATCTTAAAAAAAAAAAAAATCTGTGGATTCAAATCCTGGCTCCCCCACTTATTAGCTGTGTGGCCTTGTATGTTACTTAACTTCTCTGAGCCTCTCTTAAGTGGGCAATGATGGTAATATCTACCTGACAGGTTTGTGGGTAAACCATTTAATACAGTGCCTGGTACACAGTAAGTTGGATAAATGGTACAGCCTTGAGCCCACGTTTAGAATCAGAAGTCTGAAACTCAGTTCTAGAATTTTTATTTGATTTTTTAAAAAACACATTTCAATTCTTTGCCAAAATTCTTCATCTTGTCCTTCATTTTCTTGGACATATTAATTAATCTCAGTTATTGTAAAAGCCTCTGTCTGATCGTTCCAATATTGCAGTCTCCTTGGATCTCTATATCTATTTTTTTCTTATTTTTTGGCTTTTCACATCTGGTGTTCTTTGTAATTTGTTCATTGAATGTCAGATACTGTGTATGAAAAATTGTGAGCTAGTCTGAGGCTCTGGACGATGCCACCTTCTTCCCGAGGGGACTGACCGTTGCTTTTGGAAGTTGAGCTCTGGCAGATTGTCGTCATCCAGTCTGGGATGGAGCATTTTGGAAGCTGGGCTTGAGTCTTTGTGAAAAGCAATGTGCTCTGGTCCTTATTCCTAAGCTTTGGATCCCACCTGAAAGCTTGGGGTGCATGCCAGGGCCTCCCTTCTTGCCCTGAGACCCTACTTCTGCTCCCCCAGTTTGCTGAAGTGACAAAAACTCTGCTTAGCCTCATAGCCTCTTGGCTGCTGGTTCGTCTTCTCTTGGATTCTGCACTCATCAGTTTCTACAAAGCACAACTTCTCGGCTTTTAGATTTTTCGTAAGAATCAGCAGATGCTTCAAGGCAGAACACCGTGCCCAACAGCAGGTTCACCTCTGTGATTTCCTCTCCCTGTGATCTCGGTGCCTTAAGAACTCAACACGTTTGATAGCTCTCTGATGCTTCTAAGCGGAATTCAAAATAGATATTATTTTGTTTATCGTTTCTGTTTGTTCTTGGTAGAGGAGTTGATCTGTACAAGTTTGACTGCCACAGGCAGAAATGGAACTCCTTGGTATTCATTTGCTAATATCCTCGGGATTCAGTGTGAGAAGTGCAGACAAAACCAACTCCTTGCCAGATTGTAAGAACCACACAGACCCTTGTTTAAAAGTGCGTTTCCTGGTCCTACCCTAGACATACTGACTGACAACCTCCAGGAAAAAGACTAGTAGTTTGTGGTTCTAATAAGTACTTATAACAAAGGCACTTGGGAAAGCCTGAAAGGGGCTCTCTGGGGTCCTAAGCAGATTCCAGGCTCCCCAGTGACCCCACCTGCCCTACAGACGCTGCCTGTGTTGGTGGGAAAGAGCGTGGCTGCTCTGATATGCAGAGGGGCGTGTGTTGCTGCCGCTTACCACCACCTCCAGATTTATTTTGCATTCTGCAACTCCAGGAGTG